CCCCCGCCCCTACCCCCCCCCCTAGACCAGGCGGGGGTCGACTCCCACCACCCGGCGAACCCGTTCCCAGCAGCGCCCAGCCCGCGAAGCGTGTGGCCCAAAACTGTGAAGTGCGACCTGCAAAACACAAAGCGAAGGTTCCCACACACTATAGGGAACCAGCTGCTTGCCGCACACTTGCCACTTCACGCTCCCTGTGAGGTGATGACAGCCGACTATGACTCCAAGGAAGTTGCGGCGAATCTGTGATTAAAGACTGTATGTGTGGCATCCTTGAAAACTGCCGACTTCGACCGGCGTGCCTGGCGGCGCAGAGTGCCTGGCGTGCACATGCATGGCAGGTCCAAACCTGGCCTGCCGCAGCTGCTGACCTGCAGGCCTCCGGGACAAACGCTGCTCTGCAATTTTGCAACAACTGTGTATAGCGCATAAGTACTATCATTTGCTGAGTAATGCGTGTTCCTACAAGTACTGTGCTCGAAGAGTACCGGCTCGGGCGCCCGAAGGTCTGCAGTGCCTCTCAGCACGAGACAGATGGAGATGCTGCTTGCGACGCCTTGTGGCTGCAGCTCGGCTTCTGTGGCCTTGGCACAGCACCAATGTCAGATTCCTTTTGGTTTCAGCACTCAACTGCTGAAACCCCAGTTGTACATGTACACTACAGTTTGTGGGCTTGCTGGCGGCTGTTGCGTCACCAGGAGCACCCCGTGGCCGGTAGGGTGGACCACACAGCACACCGCTATCACGGTGAACGGTTATACGAAGCACTCACCTGCTACGTTGAGTCAGTGTGTTATCGTCAAGTCACGGCAGTGGCGTGGCCTCATTGAGGCGTGCGTGTCGACGCAGTCCAGAACATCAGGCTGTGAAGCACACGCTGGCTTGTTTTTTGCAAAACAAGTCCGCCTTAGCTCTGCGTTTTCGAAGCTAGGTGCTCGAGATGCACACCCGGCTGCAGCGAGCAATCATCAGCCCCTGCTAGTTGGCGTAAGAGCCGGGCCAAAAGCGGGTGTTTGCTCCTGTTTGTCTGTATACACAGCAGCGACCAGCACCTGGCAGCGGGCCGTGCTGCTCGCCTGGCTGGTGACGGCGGCGTGCTCCTGTTCCTGGCATACTGCAGCGCGCCAGCTCAGGGTCGCAGCACAGCACGTGCGCCGGGCCGTGCTGGTGGCAAAGCGAACCCTTACCTTTGTTCCTAGCACCAGCCGCGCGTTGCAGCCCTGATGGGCTTGGCGCGCGGCGCGCGGCGCCTGGCGGGCGCGCTCCCATACGTCGCCCTCGTCGCCGCGTCCGCCGCGGGCGCCTGCGCGCTCGCCGCCCTGGCCGGCGCGCGGCAGCAGCGGCGGCGGCAGCGGCGGCAGCAGCCGTGGGCCGCGGTCCGCGGG